TCATGGTTTTTCTATGAAGGATTATTGGACGGGAACCGTGATGCATCGATCCAATGATATGGGACCCCTCTACCCTCTTGGCCGAACAGCACCTGCCCAAGCCAACGTCAATGCTATCGATCTTCAGACCTGGCATCGGCGTCTAGGCCACCCCAGCCAAGCCGTTCTCTGTGGCATCTCCTCTCTTCTGTTTTTTAAAAATTTTAAACATTCTTTATGTCATGCATGTCAATTGGGAAAGCATGTGCACCTCTCATTTTATTCTTCTAGTCGCATTTCAATGTTCCCTTTTCAACTTTTACATACTTATGGCAATCTTCTGTTCCAAGTATTACTGGTTTTAAATTTTACATGTTGCTATTGGATGATTTTTCTCATTACTTATGGGTTTTTCCTTTAAAACACAAAAGTGATGTCTTTAACCATTTAAACTCCTTTATTGCATATGTAAAAAATCACTTTGACACAACCATCAAAGCTGTGCAATGTAATAATGGAACAGAATATCGAAACTCTCCTCTCAAAAATATTTTTGACTCTTTAGGCATTCTCTTCCGTTTTTCGTGCCCTCACACAAGCCAATAGAATGGGCGGGCTGAACGCACCATAAACAACACCGTCCGTTCTCTCCTGTTCCAAGCCCAACTACCTCCCACTTTCTGGGTCGAGGCCCTTCACATGACAGCCCACATTTTCAACATCCTCCACACCACCACACTCAATAATCGCACCCCCACACCACACTCTACAACTCACCCCCTCCTACTCTCACCTCCACGTCTTTGGTTGTCTTTGTTACCCCAATATTTCCGCCACCGCTCCTCACAAACTCGCCCCACGCTCAGCCCGCTACATTTTCCTTGGATACCCCTCCAACCAACGTGGTTTTCGTTGCCTTGATCTCACCACTAACAAACTTATTATCTCTCGCCATGTTGTGTTTGATGAGTCGTGTTTCCCATACAGTCACCCCACCTCCCCCCACGGTCTTACTTTTCTCGATGCCACAGACAACGCCCTTCCCTTACACCCACCTTCGGCCAGCCCCTCTGCATGCCCCTCCTCAAATCCCCTCGGCCCGGTCCACTGACCATTCCCC